TAATAAATTAACAATTAATTAAGATTAATTGTTTAAGAAGGCATATCTGTATATTTTCATGGGTATTTTTACTTTGTAACCATATTTATATACAGACTTACTGACAGTTTTGATAGATGCACTCAAATTCATATATGCACACACATGCATATACTGACTGCGATAAATAACTTCTTCCTTCACATGTGTATGTGCATGTAGACACACCTGTCCATTCATGTAGAAATATACTCAATCCCACTTTTCTTACCTGCATTCTTTCTCTTCATTTATATCGACTGGTGGTTATGTTCTACTTAGTTTTTTTTCTTAAATGCTTTTTTTTGATTTTCATTCGTTTTGTTTTTCTTATTTTTCTCCTTGATTTCTTTTCTTGCTCATTTTTATTATTCTTTCCTTTTTTTCTTGTGTAACAGACTTCTCTCTTTTAATATCTTCTTGTCTTTCTCTTAATCTATTTATCCATTCATTCTAATTTCTTCTTTTTCTTCTTCTTTTCATCCTCCACCACCTCTTCCTTTTTTCCTCCTCCCCTTCTTCATGAATTTTGTTCATTTTCATTGTTTTTGATTTGGGCCTATCTTTCAATCTTTCTTTTTTCTTTTTTTCTTTTTATTTCTTTTTTATTCTAAGATTTCTTTTGCTTATTCTTTCTTTATTTTCCTTTCTTTCTTTTTTTTTCACTTTGAAATTTCTTTTCCTTCTTTTAATTTTTCTCTCCATTACACTTTATCACCTTCTCATATATCTCATACCTCTTTTACCCAAATCATACATTTCTCTTAACCACTAATATCATATAATTGACACTATTCCATTGTTAATGGTTTCAGAAGATTAACATTTTCTGTAAGTTTTCCAAAGGACGTCCTTAACTGCTTCCAGGAATTTTCTGATAGCAGAGAACGGTTTTCTGATTGTATGTCCAGTCAGTTATCACATGAATGTCAAAGATGAAAAATTTTCATATGAAATTTTTCTTTTGGACTTTCTATTTTGTATTTCCAGATTTTTTATTTTTTATTTCAATAATTACCCACATTTTTGAATTTCTTTTATTTTTATATTTGGAGTGACTCACTTATAATTTGAAAATCGTCCACAAATTTTTGCCAAACATTTTTGCTTATTTTTTCTCATGTTTTCATTTAACAGTGATTTTTTTTTTCTCTTTTGGAAGAGTGGGGAAAAATGATTTTCATTTTGTTGCAAAAAAAATCATCCCATTTTCTTTTCTGTTAAACTTTTTCCAAAAGTTTCATTAATACAATTATGGAAGACAAAGTAGTGATTGAAATGGAGAAAGGGTCACTTACCAAAAATAGTTTGAATGTGGAATTTATTTATTCTTGAATGTAGCAGGCTAGTGAGCAGGAGAGAGGCTTAATTTTTCTAAGAATTAAAAGTACATATGTCTATATGTGTGAGTAGTGTGGAAATGGGAATCACTAGGTTTCCAAACTACCCAACTACACAGATTTTTGATATTCAAGCTAATACTGGCTTATGTAAAAGAGAGTGCCATATAAAACAAGACCCATGTAAAAAAGATGCTATATAAAATAAGGACCATGTAAAAGAAGAAACCATATAAAACAAAACCCATGTAAAAGAATGCACTATATAAAACAAGACCCATGTAAAAGAAAGCACCATATAGAACAAGTGCCATATAAAACAATTCACCAGATTAATAGCTGTAGAGAAGAAGGGCCCAGTTTGTCATCAGGAAGGCAGTAGCTACAGGAATTATTTAGGAACTCTATCACAGAGTTGGCAAACTTCAAGTGTTAGGTTGTTCTGTTAAAGATGCTACAGCTACTAGGGTTGGGTAAAATACTATTGCCACAATGGACCTTGAAAATAAGAAAGCTATGCACAAAAAAAGCCTATGTATTTTATCAAATGTTAGTTCAGAATTGGACAAAGTGAAAACAGAATTCTTATACTTGGATTTTAATCTAAATAACCGATATCCCTATTTGCCAACTATATATATATATATATATATATATATATATATATATATATATATAGTTTCAGTTTTTTTATAATATATATATATATATATATATATATATATATATATGTATAGTGCTGTGCAAATGTAAGTGAACACTTAAGATAATATTTAAAATAATTGTCTCATTTTTTCCAAATAATCAACAAATCTTAATTAAACTATATATTCATTAAGAAAAACCTTTATTAAATGAATTACAACAATATTCAAAGATTTTTTATCAAGCTGAAATAAAAATATTAATTAAAACGTTTAAAATTAAGATGTGCAAAATTAAGTGAAACCTTCCATTTAATAATTGGTGATGGTTAATTTTGTGGTTACAATGTCAACTAGTCTTTTTCTGTAATTTTTAAGAAGTTTCTGAGTCGTGAGTGTCAATTTTTTACCATTCTTCTTGTCAAAACTACCACAATTCCTCCATTTTACCTGGGTTTCTTGTATGCAATGTCTTCTTTCATTTGAATTACAGATTTTTAATTGAGGTTAAATCAGGACTTTGACTAGAACAATCCAAGACTTGAAATTTCAAATATTAAATGTAAAGCTTCAAGATTCACTTACTTTTTCACATCACTGTATATACACAGTAGAGGACTGACCCACTGAGATACCAAGAAATTTCTCAGTGGGCCCCAAAGTGATAGTCCAAAAAAAATTTTTCTAATATTTGTATTACATGTACATTAACATAAATAAAGGAGATCATATTGAAGAGATTCACATTTTATTTGCTTAAGATCTTTACTTTTAGTAATAATAATAGCTGGCCACTCGTATTCAAGGATACCTGTCTACTAGGGTGGCTAGCCAATCCCTGTTGCAGACTTTTACTTAAGAACATTTGTGTTTGTTCAACATCCACAGAGCCAAACTGTTGTTTATACTGCAACTATGCTTAGCAGACCTTAGTTACAGTTTCTGGGAAAGAGCATGTTATCTAGCAAGATCAACAATCTGAACAAAGCCAGCACACTCAAACCCTCAGTTACGATGACCTGTGACTTTGTGCTAGCACAGCTATCAACATCCCCCACCCCAAGTGTTCTGTCTATCCAATTTCATTCACAGACCGATAATGTCAGAAAGTCCCCATCCTGATGCATCAACCATGGTGATATTCGAATCTGAGTCTCATGGTCAGAAAAAAGTGAATGTTCTAACCACTAAGCCACAAACCCATGCATATATATATATATATATATATATATATATATATATATATATATATATATATATATATATATAAACACATACGCACACACACACATTTATATGTATGTGTGTGTAGTTTAAAATTAGTTATATTTATTGGAGAGGAGTGTTCAGTATTAGAGACAAAGTGTTTGTTGATATAAACAACATTGATTTGTTGAGTGGTTTTAGATATTTTCTGAGTTTATGATATCATACAGTACTCATTTTGTTATTAACATATAAGACCCGCCTTTGACGACATATAAGACCATTTTTTCATATACAATATTAATATTTGTGATGATATATGTGACTCAATACACTTTTGGATGTAACAGAAGACCCATTTTTGATGCCATATAAAACCCACTCTGGTGCCCTGTAAAGATCAAACTTCATACACTACACTTGAACTCACTTAATAACCCTTACTTAATAGCAGATGCTCACAGATAATCTGACACAAGGTCATGAAATTATAACATCACCTCAGCTTAAAACTCATTTGACAATTAATGGTCTAATAGGTCAATTTGTTAACCATTACTCTACTCTACATGACTTATGTATATTTAGAACAGAATATATTTAATATGGTTATCTTGAATTGATATATTGGTGCCCAGTGGTGACTTTTTGATAGCCATTTTGAAATGTAAAGTTATATATCTTTAATTCAGCCAACTTGATAGACATGATGTATATAAATAGATCCTTCCAATGTATGTCATGTTCCTTCAAGATGGAGGGGATTAAGGTCATTACTGTTCATTTTTACAGAATCAGCAATATTATTGGTTCTGATCTGGAATCTCAGCTTCACTCACTTTCCCACAACAGAAAAGTTACTTCCCTCACCCTTTTCTATATTTCTTGGTAATTGTTTGGATGAGCTCTTCACTATGATATCAGGACTTTATGAATTTAAATACAGTATTACACTGGTAACAAGGTCTTATCAATTTATAGTTGAGCTGGCAAGATGTAACTATAAATTCTATGCTAAGGGTTTCTTTTCTCACACTTCCCACTTGTGGGACTCTCTTCTAGTTCCATGCTTTTCAGTTAACTTTAACCTTCAAAAATTTGAATGCAATGTCAATCACTATCTACTATCTTCCTGATTACTCTTCTATTGTTCTTGTAATGTTTCTTTTTTCCTAATTCTTCTACACTTAGTGTCTTAGTGGATTTACTGTCTTGCTTGGGATGAATTCAATTAATAAAAATGTCCACCTATTACAAAGTTCAAGAGCCACTTAAGCTAAATAGGTACTGAATGAAGTTGCCATACGAAGGTAAGATGTAGAAGTAGTGAAGATTATGAAGATATATATGATAGGTAACAGTTGACTGTAGACTTGAAAAGGTAAGGATTGTAGTGATTGGAGACACATTGTCTTGGGCGTCTATTCTACAAAGTAGCCATTTGAAGGAAAAAACTGTCCGATTGGAACTCCATTAAAAAAAATGCTCCATTAAAGTTATTGAATTTTCTATAAAAACTGTAGTATGATGTTATAAGGCAGATTAAACTAATATTAGCTTAAGGCCTCTAAAATCTAATAAAAACTATTTTTTTCTTTATTTCCATAATATATATTGAAACATGGGGAATAGAAATGATCTAAAAAATGCTGAAAAACAGAAAATAGCAAATTTATTGAGTGAGGGGAATGTCCACAATGGAGATATCAAAGGATCTTTGCAAAGATCATCAAAGAATAAATCAGTTGAGAACTCGAAGCAAAGGAAAATGCTTTAAGAATTTGTCTCCTTG